GACCGTGAGATCGTGACCTGGCTGAAGTCGGACGCTTAACCGACTGCGCCACCCAGGCGCCCCAAAAGCGGTGCTTTTCATTAGGCTGCAGAGACGTCTCGGGCCCAAGTTGCTGGCTCCCTGAGGGTGTCTGTGTCACTCTCCCTAGCGTCAGGGAACACAGCGGTGACACAGTCTTCTGAAGGACTGAAGCGTGCAATAAATACGGTAAAGCTGGAGGAGCCAGCTTCCAGAACTGGCTGAGGGAAATGGACCCCAGACAAATGGAGGGAGTCAGACTGATGTTTTCTGCTTCTTTTTTAGATTTATATGAGCCCAGAGGTGATCCTATGCAGAGGTCATTCAACCAAAGCAGACATCTACAGCCTGGGGGCCACACTCATCCACATGCAGACAGGCACCCCGCCCTGGGTGAAGCGCTACCCTCGCTCTGCCTATCCCTCCTACCTGTACATAGTAAGTAGAGGGTCAACCAGGGCTGGGGGCGCGGGGGAGTTCTGCCCGCTCGGGAGAGCCGCCGTCCCTCCTGTAGCCCACCCGAGGGGAAGATGTGAACTGGTGACCCATGAGACGGAACTGGAAAGTTCTTCCCGTGTGGAGCAGAATCCCATTCCTGCAGAGAACGCATTGCTGGGAATTTACTAAAATCTGCACCGGGCGTCAGTTGCATGCTATTCTGTTATACGTGTCATCCTACAGTGCCACTTAGCGCCGTCTGAGTAGCATACATCTCCGAGCCAAAGAAGCTGTGTCTGTTCTTTGTCCACTTTCAGAAAAGACATGTTAGATTATAGATCCCCAAGCCAGCCTGGCACATAGCGAACCCTGCAACTTCCATTTTACCATCGAGAGAGAGCAGATACGTCCCCGTTACGGCACGGTGACCCTTGAACATCGTTAACCCACAGAATTCGTTTAATTCGGGGGCTCTTAAGACATCCTGGGCAAACGTGGTTAAGACAGGACTGTAATGGTGAGGGGCGTGCGGTGGGAGGCAAAATGACTTTCCAGGTCCTGGTAACTGGAACGCTTTTCCTGTTGAGGGTGTATTTTCGTACCACTGGTGCTTAAGAGAGCTTGTTTGCTGCTAGATCCACAAGCAGGCGCCTCCGCTGGAAGATATTGCAGATGATTGCAGTCCCAGCATGAGAGAGTTGATAGAGGCCGCCTTGGAGAGGAACCCCAATCACCGCCCGAGGGCAGCAGACCTGTTAAAACATGATGCCCTGAACCCCCCCAGAGAGGATCAGCCGCGCTGTCAGAGTCTGGACTCCGCCCTCCTTGAGCGGAAGAGGCTGCTGAGCAGGAAAGAGTTGGAACTTCCAGAGAACATTGCTGGTATGGACACCCTCCTGTGCCCGACGCCCCCCTGCTTCCCTTCTTTTTCTGTCTGCATCAGACTTCTGATGGAGTGCACGAAAGCACTCGGAAACAAAAAACTGGAGTGACTTCTCGAGTGCCATAGAGTTGTTTGAGAAATTTAAGCAAGAAGTTTAGCAAAAGCGTTTAAAAAAACAAAAATTGGCTAATCGACCAGCAAATCAGGGCATGGTTCAGTGCAAATGCAGGTAGCCGCAGTCCTTGAGAACTGCCTCTGACTTGCTTTTTTGCAATAGGGAGTATCATGTGCCTTTAAAAATGGATGGAGCAGGGCAGTTTTGCTGTTGGTTCTGAACAGACTTTTATTTAATTCGGTTACGGTAAAGCCGCATCAGTCCTTGGTTGGAAACATCAAGATGAAATACTGAGTCTGAAGTCAACTTGCATTTTTGTCTTCCTCTGCCTAAAACCTCTTTGCCAGCTATGAATCTTTCCCACTTAGGAAAGTCAGTACGCATTCCAGGAACACTGAACATGCACGGAGAGTGTTTCTATTTTTATTATTAAGATCTGTGGCATTCTTAATCCATTTAGGTCCAAACCCAGATGTCAAGCCTGGAATGTTTATTTGCATTTCATTGTCTTCTTGTCTGACTTTACTGTATTTAAAGAGAACCATCTGGGGCATTGGAAAATACGCCAGAATTTCTAGCTAATTTCTTGTCATCGGTGACTCTTTTTCGAACCTTTTTGTCTGTGCCATATTACCAAAACTAGCCCATAATGTTCAACTCTATCGTTTTTTAATAAAACCATAGCTCGAACAGTTTTTTCACGAAGACCAAAGTTTCCTTGTACCGCCTCCCCCACCCCTGCACTCCTCCCCTCCCCAGCCAGAAGGAACAGGTATTTATTATTGAACATGTCACCTGATCATTTATTTAATTTTTTTCAATGTTTTCCTTTTCAGATTCTTCATGCACAGGAAGCACTGAGGAATCAGAGATGCTAAAGAGACAGCGTTCCCTCTACATAGACCTTGGGGCCCTGGCTGGCTATTTCAACTTTGTACGGGGTCCGCCAACACTAGAATATGGCTGACTGATGTTATCATTTTCTCTAAATAATCAAGACTCAGCGTTGGTCTCCTGGAAGCTGGTCCTGCTGAGTCTACACTGGGGCTCTGGATAACGAACTGTGCCATTTGTTAGCTGGCCGTGTGGGCTCCCGTGACTCATGAATGTGACTCCACATGGCTCCCATGGGTTTGATGTGTGAAGCCGCCCTGGTAGCTGCCAGGTCTAAAGGTTCTCATTTCTCAGATGGTATGACTCAAAGGGAGCTGAGGGTTCATGGCAGGATCGTTTCTAGTGACTGATTCCATTCACTGTGCACTTTGCTCACCATTTACAAAATACCAACCACAAGGATAATGTGTTAGCCTGAAATTAGCATTCTTGGTTCTGATTTAAGTACGGGAACTTCATTTAACTCAGAATAGTTGGCTTGTATATATGGGTGTATATTATAACTCCTCGAGCCTTTGTGGGTAGATTCTAGTATAAATTAAAGTCATATTTTGGGTGAATAGAACAACTTGAATCTTCTAGCAATAAGCTGAACTGGTGTCTCAAAAATGGCTCCTTATTCAGGAGCCATCTGACAGAAGCCACTAGTGACAGGTTCTGTTATGTTCCTATGGAAACATTTTGTACTGTATATGCTATGCTTAAAATATTTAAAACATGGTGTTTTGAATGTGGATAAAACTGTGTTAAACCACATAATTTCTGTACATCCCAAAGGATGAGAACGTGACCTTTAAGGAAAATGAACTTTTCTAAATTCTTAATGATGCTACTTTTGTAACTCTCCTGAACACTTCCTCGTAAGCATTTGTATATTAAAATAGCATACTGTGTATGTTTTATAGCAAATGCCTTCATGAATCTTTCTTACACGTACACATATTTTTAACACTGTAATTACGTCAGTATTCCTACCGAAAGTACGTTTTTACATCAGGCAAATGAAACCGGCACTTTTATCCAGCGTGATTGGTCAAATCAACTGAATAAACGCAGTATTTTGCCTTAATTCTTGTGGAGAGTGCGATTCTCAGCTGGGACCGGGGGTGGGTTGTGGGGGTTGGGATAGAGGTGGGAGGAGAACGTATATCACGAGGAAGCAAAGAACACCTGAGCGTTTTGCAAACGGTTCGTTCGTATGCTCCTCGTCTATCACTGCTGCGTTAAGCCATTGTTGTCACCTGGGTTACACCGCATGCCTTCGGCACAGTGGTGCAGAAGAATACTTGTTAGCCCCCGGTGCAGGCCAAGCCTGGTTCTATTTTGCATCTTGTTTTTATACATTTATACTACCTTTGAATATATGCTTGCATGTCCTATGTCTGTCGTTTGTCGGGTAAATAACTAACTTGCCTTGTGTTAGTTATTAACTAACCTTACCGTGTGAGGTAGATTTCAGTCGAGGACACAAATTCTAACAAGTGTCAGATAGGAGTCTGATTTGTCATTCACCGAGCGACCCGCGTGACATACTTTTACGTGTGTTATGTGTGTTAGGTTTTGCTAAAGCCATCTCTGTAACCCTCACAAGCTCATGGATGAAAGATGCACCGTTACCTCCATTTTGGGGGAACCAAAACACCGTGAGGTTAGACAACTTTATGCGTAAAATCCCAGAGCGAGTGAAGAGCCAGAACCCAGGCCTTTCTGTCCCCAGTGTGTATTTTCTTCCTCATACTGTGCTGCTCACAAGTGATAGGCCATCGCAAGAGATAGATCATCTTGCTGCAGAGAAAGCACGATGCTCCCACTGGAATTCAGTTCTCCAAATAAGGGCAAAAGTGGATTCGCCACCAAGCTAATGAAGCTTCAGCCTCGGGGCCCGTCACTTGCATGCCGCCCCATGGCCCTGCGCCTCCTTTTATACTGCCTAGATCACGTCCAACAAAACCTGGACCCATCCCTGGGGCAACGTGTGTAATTTTGGATGATTTGCATGAAAAACTAAAACAGTCCGTATGAATTGAGTTCCAGTTAACAAATTCCACTCGGAGGAAAAACATGTTCTCTAAGTAAATTGGAGCTCTCATGGAAAGATCTGGGAATGTTTGCCAAAAGATGGCCATAGGCAGTGGTGGCCGAAAAAGTGGTCATGAGGGCTAGCAGGGCAGGTTCGGGGCTGAGACCTGTGCGCGGAGCACCCGAAGAGCTGTTGACCTAGGAAGCAGAGAGTTGCAGCCTGGAATGGGCCACCAGAGTCGGCTTGAGAGAAGAAGGAGGCCCTGAGTTGGTTCTGAGGAAATCCATCATTTGCTTCCTGAGAAGGCAAGCAGTGGGGCTTTCGGGCTTGGATGTAGCGGGGACAGAATAATCACATCCTGAAAGCTTCTGTCC